GGGGAACACATGTAAATCCATGGCTGATGCATGTCAATGTATGACAAAACCCACTGCAATGTTGTGAAGTAATTAGCCTCCAACTAATAAAATAAATGGAAAAAAGAAAAAAGAGGAGACCAAAATAAAATCAGAAATGAAAGTGGAATAGTTGCATCTGACACCACAAAAATACAAAGATCCTAAGAGACTGTGAACAATCATACACTGATAAAATGGACAACCTAGAAGAAATTAATACATTTCTAGAAGTGTAAAATCTCCACAGACTGAAACAGGAAGAAACAGAAAATATGAACACAATTACCAACAGTGGAATTTACTCAGGGAAAAAAAAAAACCCTTCCCAACAAATACAAGTACAGGACCACACAGATTCATTGGTGAATTCTACCAAGTTTCAATAGAGGTAATAGCTATCCTCAAACTATTCTAAAAAATTGAATGTGAAGAAAGATTTACATTATTCTAAAAGCCAGCATCACCCTGATACGAAAACTGGACAAAGGCACCACAAAAAAGGAAAATTACAAGCCAGTATCATTGATGAACATAGAAGCAAAAATCCTCAACAAAATATTAGCAAACCAAATTCAACAATGTATTAAAGGGATCACACATCAAAAGTGGGACTTACCCTAGGGATGCAAGGATAGTTCATTATCTGCAAATCAATTGATGTGATTCATCACATTGACAAATGATAAAAAACACATCATCATCTCAATTGATGCTGAAAAAGTATTTGACAAAATTCACCATCCATTCATGATGAAAACTCATCATAGTGAGTATAAAAAGAATATATCTCAACATAATGAAGGCCATTTATGAGAAACAAAACCCAAAGCTAACTTCATATTCAATGGTGAAAGCTAAAAGCATTTCCTCTAAGACCAGGAATAAATCCACTCTTGCCACTTTTATTGAAATAGTATTGAAAGTCCAGAACACTAAGATCATAGCCGCTGGTCCCATCACTTCATGGCAAATCGGTGGGGAAACAGTGGAAACACTGACAGACTTTATTTTCTTGGGTTTCCAAATCACTGCAGCTGTGAAATTAAAAGATGCTTGTTCCTTGGAAGAAAAGCTATGACACACCTAGACAGCATATTTTAAAAGTAGAGATATTACTTTACTGACAAAGGCCCCTATAGTCAAAGCTATGGTTTTTACAGTGGTCATGTATGGATGTGAGAGTTGGACCATAAAGAAGGCTGAGTGCTGAAGAATTGATGCTTTTGAACTGTGGTGTTGGAGAAGACTCTTGAGGGTCCCTTGGACTGCAAGGAGATCCAACCAGTCCATCCTAAAGGAGATCAGTCCTGAATATTTGTTGTAGGGACTGATGCTGAGGCTGAAGCTCCAAGACTTTGGCCACCTGATTCGAAGAGCCAACTCGCTGGAAAAGACCCTGATGCTGGGAAAGATTGAGGGCAGAGAATTGGATGACAGAGGACGAGATGGTTGGATGGCATTACCAACTCAATGAACATGAGTTTGAGAAAGCTCCAGGAGATGGTGAAGGACAGGGAAGCATGGCATGTTGCCGTGCATGGAGTCACAGAGTCAGACATGACTGAGTGACTGAAAAACAACAACTCATAGCAATCAGGCAGAAAAAGAAATAAAAGTCATCCAAACTAGAAGAGAAGAAGTAAAACTGTTACTGTTTGCAGATGTCATGATACTATTTGCTTTTCTATACACTGATAATGAACTGTAAGAAAGAGAAAGCAAGAAAACAGTCCTGTTTGAAATTCCATCAAAAACAAAATCCCTAGGAATAAACAATGAGATGAAAGACCTATACTCTGAAAACTATGAAACACTGATGAAGGAAATTGAAGATGATAGAAAGAAATGGGAAGATATCCATGGATTGGAAGAATTAACACTGTTAAAATGTCTATACTCCCCCAAGCAATTTACGGGTTCAAAACAATCCTCATCAACATACCAGTGGCATTTTTCACAGAACAAACAAATAATCCTAAAATTTATATGGAATCAAGAAAGATCCCAGATAACCAAAGCAATCTTGAGGAAAAAAAGAACAAAGCTGGACAGTCACACTCCCTGACTTCAGACTATGCTATGAAACTACTGTAATCAGAACAACATGGTGCTGGCCAAAAAACAGCCACAGAGATCAACGGAACAGACATAAATCTACACACCTATATGGTCAGTTAATCTGTGACAAAAGAGGCAAAAACATACAATGGGGAAAAAGATAGTCTCTTCAATAAGTGGTACTGGAAAAACTGGGCAGCTACATGTAAAAAGATGAAAATAGAACATTTTCTCACAACATATACAAAATTAAACTCAAAATGGATTAAAGATATAAATATAAGATTAGAAACCATAAAAGTCCTATAAGAAAACATAGGCCAAAAAAAAAAAAATAGAACACTCTTTGACACAAGTCATAGCAGTATTTGCATCTGTCTCCTCTCAGTGGGCTTCCCAAGTGGCGTTAGTGGTAAAGAACCCACAAAAGCAAAAATAAATGAGACCTAAATAAAACTTTCAGTGTTAATGCTTTTGCACAGCAAAGGAAACCATCAAGAAAAAACAAAAAGACCACCTGCTGAATGGGAGAAAATACTTGCAAATGATATGACCAGTAAACCAAATTAAATACACAGCTCATACAACTCAACATCAAAAACAAACAAAAACAAACAAACAAAAATAAACCAAATTATCAAATGGGCAGAACACCTGAACAGACATTTCTCCAAAAAAAAACATACAGATGGCCAGTAGGCACATGAAAAACCGCTCAACATTGCTAATCATCAGGGAAATGCAAATCAGAATCACAATAACAAACATTGGTGAGAATGTGGAGAAAAGGGAATCCTTGTATATTTGTAGTGGGAATGTAAACTGGTTCAGCCATTGTGTCAAACAATATGGAGTTTCTTCAAAAAATTAAAAATAGAACTACCATATGATCCAGTAATTCCACTTCTGGGTATATTGCCAAAGAGAAAGAAAACACTAATTCCAAAAGATACGTGCACCCCATTAGTCATAGCAGCATTGTTTAGACTAGTCAAGATATGGAAGCAACCTGTGTCCATCAACAGATGAATGGATAAAGAAGATGTGGTACATATATACAGTGGTATATTACTCAGCCATTTAAAAGAATGGAATGGATGGACCTAGAGGTATTATGCTTAATGAAATAAGTCAGAGAAAGATAAATACACAATGTGTTATCACATATATGTGGAATCTAAAAAATAAAGCAGATGATTAAATATAACAAGAAACAAATTCACAGCTACAAAGAACAAACTAGTGATTACCACTAGGGAGAGGGGTGGGGGAGGGGCAAGATATGGGTAGATACAAACTACTATGTGTAAAACAAACTATAAGAATATACATGCATGCTAAGTCACTTCAGTTGTATCCAACTCTTTGCGACCCTATGGACTCTAGCCCACCAGGCTCCTCTGTCCATGGAATTCTCCAGACAAGGATACTGGAGTGGGTTGCCATGCCCTCCTACAGGGGATCTTCCCTACCCAGGGATCGAACCCATGTATCTTATGTCTCCTGCATTGGCAGGGGGCTTCTTGACCACTAACACTACCTGAGAAGACAGAAGAATATACAGTACAGGGAATGTAGCCAATATTTCATAGTAACTTTAAATGGAGTATAATTATGAAAATACAGAATCAGTGTATACCTGAAACTAATATAATACTATAAATCAACTATACTTCAATTAAAAAAAATTTTTTAAGCTTTTTTGTAAATCTGTATGATAGTAATCCCTCTTTTAAACACTTCTCACTCTTCTTTCTCTAATTATACTTCTGTATACTATTCCCTTCTCGTCATTCCTCCAGACTACATCCTTTCTCTTCTCTGAAATTTAGTACCTTCATCCCTAAAATTCATGTTTGATGGATATATGTTAGCACTCATCTGTTAATAATGAAGTAATGTATGAGCATTAAAAACTGTCTTGCCCATTTTAAGGCAGTTTGTGCTTTTATGTGTATATATGTATGTAAAACTTTATCATTTATGCCTTGCATGCTCTCAATAAATCCATTATAAGAATTAACCAGAAAGAGAGAAAGGAGCACAATTTTGGAATTAAAAGTAAAACCAAGCATTAAATAAACCTGCAGGTCAAAAATAGAAAGAATTCTATTTGATCTTTGAGCCAACTCACATTGTTCTTCTGATTATGGAAAGTTACTATTCTTTCTCAAAATAATTTAGAAATATGTGGAATAATGCTAACTGCCATGGAAACTTTTTTAGTGTTTGCTGTAGACTCGGGTATTAAATTTAGCCTTGTCAGGATGTCTCATCATGGCTCCTCTACAGTCGTAAGAGACTGCATGTTCAAGAAAACTATTTGCTCTATTATATTCATTATTTTTAATTAATACCAAGTTGACAAAAACAATGTATAATAAATTTGTTATTTCACTGGGCTAGATAATGTGATCATTTATATTTTCTCTACAATAGTCTCAAAAATTATATTCAAGCAAAAAATTCTTTTAAAAGACATATTTCTGCTTTAAATGGAAATAATGTAACTAAATTTTTTAAATTATATAAAAGTTGGAGAAGAATTTTTTTCAGTTCTTTTTGTGAACTGATTTTCCTTTTTTATATTTGTCCCATAGGACAGATCTATTCAGAAATGATCCACAACTTACTTCGCCCGGTTCTGCAAAGCAAGGACTGTAACTTGGTTCGATATAATGTCATCAATGCATTACCCAATACAGCTGATTCACTCATTGGCAGAGCTGCACATATAGCTGTTCTGGATTCAGAAATATTTTTAGAGAAATTCTTTCTGGTTGCTGCCCTCAAATATTTCCAATAGAATTAAAAACATTGGTAGAGACTTGACAATTACCTCATTCAGCAATGATTTAGATAATCTATTATAATAAACTATAGATGCTGATAAGTTCTAAGAAATATTTATACCTTTTTATATGGAAGATAATTTATATCATCCATGTTTAGAGCTTTTTAAACATCAACTTTACTTTCTAGGTAATGTGCCTGTGCAATATTTTTTAATTTCATCTTTTTACTTTTCTATTACTTTTTCATATATTTTGCTACATAAGTATTTCAGTGAAACTTTAAGCCCATATGTATGTGTGATTGTTTTATTTTTGGCTTTCCACAATCCTTACATCAGACAGATCATATTAAAGGCCATTATTGCTAGAATCACTCCAAAATTACTGCAGATGGTGACTGCAGCCATGAAACTAAAAGACGCTTGCTCCTTGGAAGAAAAGCTATGACCAAGCTAGACAGCATATTAAAAAGCTGAGACATTACTTTGCTGACAAAGGTCCATCTAGTCAAAGCTATGGTTTTTCCAGTAGTCATGTATGGATGTGAGTGTTGGACAATAAAGAAAGCTGAGCGCCAAAGAATTGACGCTTTTGAACTGTGGTGTTGGAGAAGACTCTTGAGAGTCCCTGGGACTGCAAGAAGATCCAACCAATCCATCCTAAAGGAGATCAGTCCTGGGTGTTCATTGGAAGGACTGATGTTGAAGCTGAAACTCCAATACTTTGGCCACCTAATGCGAAGAGCTGACTCCTTGGAAAAGACCCTGATGCTAGGAGAAATTGAAGGGAGGAGGAGAAGGAGACGACAGAGGATGAGATGGTTGGATGGCATCACTGACTCGATGTGCTAGACAGGGAAGCTCCAGGAGTTGGTGATAGACAGGGAAGACGGGTGTGCCATAGTGCATTGGGTCAGAGTCAGACACAACTGAGTGACTGAACTGAATTGCTAGAATAGCATGAGATTTTAAATTTTCTAGTATGGGGGTATTATTTCGTTAGTCATAAATTTTACTTTTAACATTTTACTATGTTTAACTGGAAATAAAATTATGGCTGCTAAAATATATTTTTTGAAATCAACTATTTTGCCCTCTCAAACCAGGTAGTTCATATATGACAATGTTATAAAGGTTTTCTATAAAAAGTTATTATTACTGTTGCTAGTAAACATCTGCCATGCCTATTAAAATATATTTTCTACAGGTGATTTCAACATTATTTCTCATATTGACTTTTATTACTGGAACTTTTCATGTTCATGTTAGCAGCATCTAGAGATTTTTGAATGTTTGAATGCCCTCTGCCTTGATTTGGTTGGAATTTTGCTAAATTTGGTAATGTTGCTTGAACTTTCTGACTACATTTCTTTAACTTTTTCATGGACTTCCTTGTATGTACATAATAATTAAATGTTGAAATTTATTAAATACTTTTATGAATTTAGATAATTTTTAAATATTGCTAAAATTTGTTGAACTAAAGAGTAGTGTAAATAAAATAATTCATGGAACAAAATAATTAACTTTACATGTTTGGTGACACAGATGCAAATGTTTTGATATATGGAGATGTTAAGTCTCTTGACTTTACTCAAGGTGCTGAATAGCATTAAATTCACTATTTTCTTTTCCTGTTTTACTTGTGAAAATAATAATGCACTAAGGATAGATAGAAGGTCTATTTGCATTTACCAGTTGTGATAGAAGGCTTTTGTAAATATGTATTGTAAAATTGATGCATGTTTATTTTTAGTATTGTGTTATTGCCTCTGCTGCTAATAAATGAACAAATGACTATCTGGAGGAACAGCTAAAACACTCGCTTATTTTCAGAATACTAGAGGTATATTTTTATTTATAATTGGATAGACTATATTAATTAACTTTTATAGGACAGTGTGATTGTGTAACTTATACCTTTGTGAACTATTTTTATAATTTATGTCATTTGCATATGTTAAAACATATTTCATTATGCTCCATAATTATTTACTTTTTAAAAAGCATATGAAAATTTTTGAATTGAGTAAGCAATAATATTCCAAGTACATTATAACTGGAAAATGTAATTGCATTATTCACCCTGTATTTTTGCTACACACATTTTTTCATCTTCACATTCCTTGGTCCTGAGTTTAAAATACCATACTTTTTTCTTGTATTTCTTTTCATTTCTTATTTTAACTAAAAGAAGTTTCACGTATGAGTTTGAATAATCTGGCTTTATCAAAGTATTCATTCTTATTAATAATCATACTGTTGTTTTTAAGGGAAAATTGCTCTTATGATCATGGTTGGTTGATTGGATGTTTGTTGTTTTAATGCAGTTTTAAAAACATACCAGTGATCATGGTTTCCAGTCCAATAGATTTAACTTCTGATTTACCAGAGAAACTGTTATACACTATTCACCTTCAAATTCAGAGTGCAGGGGTGGGGCAACAATCATCTGATACAGTGTAGTTGACTCTTAGAGAATGAATGTCATTAAAGTTTACATCAGTTAGAATTTTGGGTTGTAAACAACAAAAATCATTGTGATTAACTTAAGCAGAAAAAGAATTTATTGAAAAATGTATGTAGTTCACAAAATTGACAGAAAGACTAGGAAACTACTCTTAGAAAACAGGTAGAAACCAAGGAAGCTAGGTGACCAAAATTATAGCCAGGTTCCCACTCCAGAGGAGCTAGAGGTTTGTGTATGTTTCTGCTGGCAGGGATTCCTCTGAAAACTGGATTACATCTGCTGCTTTGCATCAGTCATTCCAGATTCAAAGTTTCTTGAACATGTGATTGACAGGCTGTCCTGTGCCAGCACTCAAGCTGCCAGGCACCCACCCAGGTAAGTATATCGGGCTTTCTCAGCTTCCCCAGTAGAAGATGGGACCATTTCTTCTGCCAGAATTCAGGAAGGGCTGTGATGACTGAGCCCCAAAGAGAAAAACACACCAAGTCCACTACAGTCTACCTCTCTGCCTTCCCAGCATCACAAGTATCGTACTCACACATTTTTACAGATGCTTCCTCCTGACCCAACACTGCTAACACCCCCGTCCAGCTTCAGGTCCAGGATCTTGGTGTTCTGTCCATCTCTCCGCTGGTTCTGTAATGATCTTGCCTCAGTAATGTGCAGCCACAGAGAAAACTATGACTTCATCACCACCCCCACAATGTACAATGAGAGAAAAAAAATTAACAGTTTAAGCACACGCATGAGCCAGTGAGGAAAAAAATACAACTAGAGCAGTGCTTTGCAAGTTTCCTTGGTGAATTCCGTGGGGACTCCACAACAGACCAGCTGAAGCATAATCTCCAGGGCAGGATTTGAGGAGCAGCATGTTTCATGTTCCAAAGCTCTCCAATTTCAAAGCAAAACCATGGTAAATACAGCCCTCAGTTCTGCCACTGGTCACGAGGCTAGATGGTTATGAGCTGTCACCACTGCCCCTTATTCCCTGTTTGCTTTCTGTTCAGCCAGCACCTCAGCTGATAAGGTTTCTTTACCCAAAGATCTGAGGCTTGGGTGATCCTGCCTCTACATGCTTGCAATAGTCTACTTAATGTTTACAGTTCAACATGATACTGTGAACAGGTACTCCAGGAGACGAGGTCCTCCAAGTTCTAGGCAGTCTCTACTTCCTTTTCTCCCGTGGTCATAGAGCCCATCACTACAGCTAGCAACCTTAACTACTACTTCTAACCCTTCACCCAGTTGTTCAGTCGCTAAGTCATGTCAGACTTTGTGTTCCCATGGACTGCAGCATGCCAGGCTTCCCTGTCCACTATCTCCCAGGAGTTTGCTCAAACTCATTTCCATTGAGTCAGTGATGCCATCGAATCATCTCATCCTCTGTCATCCCCTTCTCTTCCTGCCCTCAATCTTCCCCCAACATCAGGGTCTTTTCCAGTGAGTCAGCTCTTTGCAGCACATGGCCGAAATACTGGAGCTTCAGCTTCAGCATCAGTCCTTCCAATGAATATTCAAGGTTGATTTCCTTTAGGATTGACTGGTTTGACCTCCTTGCAGCCCAAGGAACTCTCAAGAGTCTTCTCCGGCATCATAGTTTGAAAGCATCGATTTTTCAGCACTCAGCCTTCTTTATGGTCCAGTTCTCACATCCACACATGACTACTGGAAAACCATAGCTTTGAGTATAGAGGCCTTTGTTGGCAAAGGGACCATCTAGGTTGGTCATAACTTTCCTTCCAAGGAGCAAGCGTCTTAATTTCATGGCTGCAGTCACCATCTGCAGTGATTTTGGAGCCAAGAAAATAAAATCTGCCACTCTTTCCATTTTTTCCCCATCTATTTGCCATGATGAGCAAAGAATGACCAGTTGGCAGTCCCAACTTCCAACTCAGAGAAAAAACTGTATCCCCTTATGCTCCACACTGGGCACAAAAGTTGGCATACCAGCAGAACCTGGAATCATGGAGATGGATGGTGAGCAGTGAGGGTCTGAGACTGTGCTTGTCTTACTTGCCATCTTGCTGCAGTTCCATGGATGCTTGAAGGCAGGAGACTCCTGTGTCAGAGACAAGAAACTTGATTACAGCAAAGTCATGGCCGAAGTGTCCACACCTTAACAGCAGTTGCTAGAACCTCAGCTCCCATGGCGATGCAGAGAGACAGGTGGCGCGTGTCCACCCAGTGCAGGTCCAGGGCCAAGCATTTGGGTTGCATTAAGGGAGAGGAATCCAGGGCTGAGACCCAAGCCATTAAAAAAAAACTTTTTATTGGAGTTGATACACAATGTATTAGTTTTATGTGTATAGCAAAGTGAATCAGTTATATACTCATTTTTATTTTTTGTTAGATTCTATTCCCATATAGGCCATTATAGCGTATTGAGTAGACTTCCCATGGTTTATATTGTTCTTTTCATGTCTGAGCAATATTCCATTGTATACACACCATTTCTTCTTTATCCATTCTTCTGTTGATGGACATTAGGTTGCTTCCATATCCTGTCTACTGTAAATAGTGCTGCAGTGAACATTGGGGGTGCACCTATCATTTCCAATTAAGGTTTTCTCTGGATATATGTCCAGGAGTGGGATTGCTGTATCATATGATAATTCTATTTTTTGTTTTTTAAGGAACCTCCATACTGTTCTTCATAGTGGATGTACCAATTTATATTCCCACTATCAGTGTAGGATTGTTCCCTTTTCTCCACATCCTCTCCAGTATTTATTGTTTGTCAATTTTTTGATGATGGCCATTCTGATCAGTGTGAGATAATACCTCATTGTAGTTTTGATTTTCACTTACGATTTTTCTGGAAACACAGAAGACCCTGAATAGCCAAACTAATTTTGAGAAAGAAAAATGGAGCTAGGGGAATCAGACTCCCTGACTTCAGACTATACTGCAAAGCTACAGTAATCACAGTATGGTACTAGCACAAAAAGAAACAAATAGATCAATGAAACAGATTTGAAAGTCCAAAGATAAACCCATGCACCTATGGTACCTTATCTATTACAAAGGAGGCAAGAATATGCAATGAAGAAAAGGCTGTCTCTTCAATTAGTGGTGCTAGGAAAACTGGACAGTTACATATAAAATAATGAAATTAGAACACTTTCACACCATACACAAAAACAAATTTAAATGGATTAAAGACCTGAATGTAAGGCCAGACAATACAAAACTCTTAGAAAAAAACAGGCAGAACACTCTGACATAAATCGCAGGAGGATCTTTTTTGACTCACCTCCTCGAGTAATGAAAATAAAAACAAAAATTTAAAAATTGGGATCTAATTAAACAAAAACTTTTACACAGCAGAGAAAACCATAAACAAAACAAAAATACAACCCTCAGAATTGAAGAAAATATTTGCAAATCAAGCAACTGACAAGAGATTAATATCCAAAATATACAAACACCTCCCTCATGCAGCTCAATATCAAAAAACAAAAAACCCCACAAATAACCCAACCAAAACATAGGCACAAAATCTAAATAGACAGTTCTCCAAAGAAGACACATAGATGGACCAAAACAGCACATGAAAAGATGTTCAACATCACTGATTAGAGAAAAGCAACCCAGGGCTCTTTTTTTACCTGACAACACACAATCCAGGTCTTTCCCCCAGGAGAGCAGCAGTTCAATAGTAGTGATGCTGTGGTTGCCTTGACCTACTTAGAGGCCCATGTGACCATCTACAGAAGCTGCCCTGCCAGGCAATGAAGCTGCAGTTGGCATGCTCAGCAGTGATACGCAGGAATGCTCGACCCATGGAAGTGTCTTCCCAGAGCTGTCAGATGTCACAGCAAGGCATCAATCCCTCTGCTACTCCTGGGGCACCGTTACTCTGTCAACATGAGAGCTACCACTGAACACGGTTAATTCATTTAAAGCATATGCCAAATCCTGTAGGACAAGATCCCAAAGTGTATTTTTCTCACATGGGGCTGTCATACAAGACCAGTTGCTTCTGGGCTGATAGGACATGTGATGAAGCTGGTTTATCCCACAGGCCTCTGTACCCACAGTCATCAGTGAGTTCTTTGGTAAGAAACAGTTTTGTAAGGGAGGTGACATGAAGTGTATGGAATGTAAGGTATTCAGTAAGTCCACAAGTGAAGTGCATAAAAGAAGCACAAGTCAGGTATAACAATCCAAACCCCAAATAATTGCTTATTCCTATACAGCAAATTGCTACCTCCTTCATCATAGATGTAGGAGACCTGGGTTCAATTCCTGGGCTGGGAAGATCCCCTGGCGAAGGGAAAGGCTACCCACTCCAGTACTCTGACCTGGAGAATTCCATGGGGTCGCAAAGAGTCGGACACGACTGAGCAACTTTCACTTCACTCATCAGAGTAGAGTCTCTTATAGTCAAGAGCCACCACTCAGGCCGTTCCATACTATATCAAGATTGGGTTTGTCTTTGCAAGTAGTGGTGCTAGCCCATCAGACTTGGCCAGGGTGAAACTATATTAACAATACAGTCATGTCTCCATGCCACTGTGGCTGCCTTGTCAGGGATGCACTAAACAAGCACAGCTGTGGTGAGGGGCAGAGACTGACTGATGCCTACAGAGTTGTCGCGGTGGTAACCAGCCGCTAAGAAGCCCTTCGGCGATCCCCCCCTGCTGGCATTCTCCCCTGGTGTAATCCCCTCTCTCTGACATGGGCTGGGTTTGCTGGTTCACTGCTAATTAAGAATTCAGCAAAAGTGATAGGTCGTCACTTCTGAGGTGAGATTACAAAGGGACCGTGCCTTCTATCTCCAGCAGTCTCCATTGTTCTCCCGCTTGTTCATGGACTCTCAGCTGCCATGTTGTAAGATGACTTCTGGAGAAGCCCATATAGCGCGGAACTGAGGAAGGTCTTCAGTCCAAAAACTGCAAAGAACTAATACCTGCCAATAATCAGGTGGGTGAGCTCAGGAGCCGATCCTCCCATAATCAAGCCTCCATGTGAGACACGAACCCAGCTCACAGCTTGACTGCAATCTCATTTAATACCTAGAGCCAGAGGCACAAAAGCGGTGAGAGAATAGATGTTTATTGTTTTAAGCCACAAAATGTTGGTATGTTAGGTAGCAATAGATAACCTACAGTAATCTTTTTCTGTAGTCAAAGCTTTGGATTTTCCAGTAGTCATGTATGGATGTGAGAGTTGAACCATAAAGAAAACTCAGCGCCGAAGAATTGATGCTTTTGAACTGTGGTGTTGGAGAAAACTCTTGGTTCCTTGGACTGCAAGGAGACCAAACCAGTCAACCCTAAAGGAAATCAGTCCTGAATATTAATTGGAAGGACTGATGCTGAAGCTGAAGCTCCAATACTTTGGCCACCTAATGTGACTAGAAAAGACCCTGATGCTAGGAAAGGTTGAAGGCGGAGGAGCAGGGGATGACAGAGGATGAGATGGTGGGATGACATCACAGACTGTATGGACCTGAGTTTGAGCAAGCTCCAGAGTTGGTGATGGACACAGAAGCCTGGCAAAGAGTTGGACATGACTGAGCAACTGAACTGAACTGAACTGAATCTTGTTCTGCAAAAGCCCTTTTGCAACAGGACCCTTCTTTTGAGCATTCAGTGGGACCCAAATGTTATGCTTTGATGTCATTTGGAGATGTCCTAATTCCAAAAAAGTATCACAAAACCTTTACATTTTCCCAGTCCCTCATCACTTGTTTCAGTGCCCATGAAATGATGCATATCTTTATCTCAAGTTCTGTCTCCTTCCAGGCAGAGTATAAGATAAAGTCCTTCCCTCTGGGAGGATTTATTTTTACTTTTTTTGTCTCTGGTGTTCTTCAAGGCACCTGTAAAATGGGGCTCGAACTACCAAAGCAGTCATTTGCCAGCTGGTCAGTATATTGAGCAAAACCCTCTGTAATTAATTTTGAGTTTTTTTCCTCGATCAAGTGGTCACATGGAACTCATCATCAAGCTGTAAATATGAACTAAGGGTGAAAAGGTGTGTGTGCAACCTACCGAGCTACTTGTTCATGAAACCTGCTGGGGTTTTGGCTTTGGGCCTTTCTGAAAATACCACTTCCTCTTGGTGAAAGGAGTCCTTATCTAGGAGAAACAGATATCTCTCATTCAGAGAACTCAGATTGCAGCCATGTGATGTTACTTGGTCAGACATTACCAGGGCCAAGTTCAGCTCAGCTCAGTCACTCAGTCATGTCTGACTTTTTGCAACCCCATGGACTGCAGCACGCCAGGCCTCCCTGTCCATCACCAACTCCCAGAGCTTACTCAAACTCATGTCCATTGAGTCTGTGATGCCATCCAACCATCTCACCCTCTGTCGTCCCCTTCTCTTCCTGCCTTCGATCTTTCCCAGCATCAGGGTCTTTTCAAACAAGTCAGTTCTTCACATCAGGTGGCCAAAGTATGGGAGTTTCAGCTCGAGCATCAGTTCTTCCAATAAGTATTCAGGACTGATGTCCTTCAGGATGGACTGGTTGGATCTTCTTGCAGTCCAAAGCATCCACACTCCTCCAACACCACAGTTCAAAAGCATCAATTCTTTGGTGCTCAGCTTTGTTTATAGTCCAACTCTCACATCCATACATGACTACTGGAAAAACCATAGCCTTGACTAGACGGAACTTTGTTAGCAAAGTAATGGGCCCAAGAGCAAGACAAAAACTTTGCTAAAAAAAAATATATATATATATATATTATATATTATATTATGTTTTATATATATTATATATTATTTATATATATAATAATATATATTAAATATAATAATCTCTCTCTCTCTCTCTCAAAGGGACGCCACTGTGATTCTGTGTAGACCTCCACGGGCCATATGAAGCCTACTGCCCTGCCATACGTTCTCCGAACGTCACTGGAGCCGCTGGACCAGGAACGCAGAGGCACAGTTCTACCTCCCTGCAGCTGGACCAGACGAGGGTCTTCTGCTCGGTGCTGCACTCAAACTGCATCTTCCAGTCCGCCCGGTAAGTGGGTGCGAGTTCACTGAATAAGCAGACATGTAAAAAATTAGAGCGAGAGAACTGAGGAGAAAGAAACCTATTGCACGAGCAAAGAGCAGCAAGTGCCCAATCTTTGTGGCCTGGAACAGCGAGCTCCCAAGAGACCTTCACCTTCAAGTTGAGGCAAAGCAAAGAGATTAAGATGAACAAACGAAGGCATTACCTCCGTTTGGGGGGATCCACCTTCAGACACAATTTGAGGTTTTCATCAACATGGGGTTAAGGGTAGTTTGGGTTGTTCTTCAGGAGAAGGCTGAGCTGTTCCACTTTTTCTTGCAGACCGTCCAGGGCCGGAGCGCGGATTTCCAGGGCCGCTCCGCACCGCGGATTTCCAGGGCCGCTCCGCACCGCAGAGAGGCCAGCTCCGCGCCAGATAGAGCGCCGCCCTTCAGGCCCCGCCCCTGCCCCGCCCCCGGCAGCACGCAGCCCCGCCCCAGTCGCGGGGCGTGCCGGGACGACGCGACCCGCTAACACCTCAGGGCAGGCCGTTGCGGACGCCGCGGGAGTGGATGCCATGGCTGCGTTAGGCCTCGCTTCGTTGCTGGGCCGCGTCCCGGCTACAGCGTGGAGAGCGGCAAGTAAGGCGCCCGGGCCCAGGGCCGAGGTCGCGGGCAGGGTCGCGAAGGCCCAAGCCCCGAGAGAAACGCGTCCGGCGGGGCGGCGGTGTGCTGCCGTCTCGGGGGCCTCCAGGGCCGCGGAGCCTCCCTGTTTAGCGCACTCGTGCGCTGGCGGGTCCTTCCCTCCCGGGCTCAGGTGGAACCCGAGCGGCACGGTCACAGGGCCCACCGGCCGCCGCACTGGCCACCAAGGGGGGCGGAAGTTCCGGGTCCTGGAGGGCGCGCCGCGCGCTAGTGCGCGTGCACAATGCAGATAAGCGGGCCCTGTGGCAGTGCACCCGTCGTTTACTAAGGGTATTTACATCGGAAAGGATTTATGGCAGCCTGCAGTACAAAATATGGGAGAGCACTGAATTTTGGAAAAGTAGTCCAAGGCAAAAAAGTATAATAAAAATTAGATGAAGCCAGGAGACTATTAAAGTATGCATGCTTTCAGTAAAAAACAGACTTGTTTTTTAAAGCCCTTTTTGTTGACAGTTTTTCTCGATATATGTTACAGCCTTAACCCACAGAATGTTCTAAGCATAGTTTTAATTTAGGACATCGTGGAGAAATTGAAAGTGGAAAACAGTTCCAGCCGGCATCCTAATGGGTCCAAGATGTTTGCTTTCATACATACATACATATATATATATATGTTTTTATTTATATATAGCTTGTTTTCATTTCTGTCATCATTTCTCCCCAGACATACTGCTTTTTGTTTTTGTATTTTTTTCAGACTTTAAACTTTTTATTAGTGTATAGCGGATTAACAATGTTGTGGTAGTGTCAAGGGAGCAGGAAAGGAACCCAGTCATACATAAACATGTATCCATTCTCTCTCAAACTACCCCCTCCTGCCCTATCCAGGCTAGCACATAACATTAAGTACAGTTCGACTGGCTAAAACAATGGGTCTTTGGTTATTCATTTTGAATATAGCAATGTGTACATGACCCAGACATACCACTTGCTGATTGTAAAAATTGTAAATGGTCTGAAAATGAATAATATGGAAAGTAAAAGCCCCCTTGCTATGCAAACTTCAAAGTAATAACTGTATAAAATTTTGCTGTGGGTTTATTCAACATCCCTTTTTCACTAAGGTTAAAAGCTTAACAGTGAAGTGTTTCATACCAAAAACTTATACAACATATATGAGTGAAGAAGCAAAGCCAACATTTATGAACCCATTCTCCAGTTTAAGAAATAGAATGTTTCCATTGCTGAGCTGTGTGCTGCTTCGTTTTGCAGTTGTGTAACTTTATAGAAATGACTTCATGCCTTTTGTATTTGTTTTACTTGATTTTTTCAACCAACATTGTTTTGAAATCCATCCATATTGTTATGTGATGTTGTAATTAGTAAATGGTGAGAGTGTATCATAACCTGTAGGGGGTTTCCCAAGTGGCTCTGTGGTAAAGAATCCGCCTGCCAAGCAGGAGACGTGGGTTCCATCCTTGGGTGGGGGAAATCCCCAGGAGAAGGAAATGGCAACCCACTCTAGTATTCTTGCCTGGGAGATCCCATGGACAGAGGAACCTGGCAGTCCCTGGGGTCACAAGAGAGTCGGACACAACTTGGCAATTAAAGACACACACATCATACTTTTTTCCTTTCCCCCTCTCAGTAGACGTTGTGTAATTCGGGAAGCCCCAGGTTTGGCTGCTACACATCTGGTGTATATGTGGGTGCACTTGCACAAGAGGTTGAATTCCTGGACTATGTGGTAAAGATTTGTCCAGTTTTACAATGTGATGCCAAATCGTAAAGGCATTTTTCATTCCTACTGGCAATTTATACTTCTCCCAGCAGTATATCAGAGTTCCTCTTTCTCCAAATACTTTCCAACATCTGATAGCATCAGAAAATTTAATTTTTGTCTGTGTGTAGGGTGTTGAAATAGTATTTCATTATGATTTTGCATTTCTCTCGTTAGAGAAATGAAACATCTTTTCAAAAGTTTTTTTATTTTTCTGGTGAAATGTATCTTCATTTTCTTATTGGATTGTTTGTCTTGCTTATCTATATTCTTTACATATATTTGACCACTATGCCTTATTTTAAGTTGTGTATGTGTGGCAAATAGCTCTGTTTGAGGATGACAGAAATGACAAGTGGTTACTGAACTGTGAAGGCATCTTGAGACTGAAAAAGGGAGGCAGGGAAGTTCATACAATCAGTTTATCATAGGGTGACTTACAGACTGGGATCAGGCACACAGCCATCAGGAAGCATTAGCAGCTGTACTCCACACTGCCAAGGGGCCGCTGGGACAGTTTTATAGTTAACCTAGGGTATGAAGGTGTGTGGGCTTCCCTGGTAGCTCAGCTGGTAAAGAACCCACCTGCAATGCAGGGGGCCCTGGTTCAGTTCGTGGGTTGGGAAGTTTCCCTGGAAAAGGGATAGGCTACCCACTTGAGTATTCCTGGGCCTCCCTGGTGGCTGAGAGAGTAAAGAATCTGCCCGCAATGCAGGAGACCTGGGTTTGATCTCTGGGTTGGGAAGATCCCCTGGAGAAGGGGATGGCAACCAACTCCAGTAGTCTTGCCTGGAGAATCCCATGGATGGAGGAGCCTGGTGGAATACAGTCCATGGGGTCGAAAAGAGCCGGACACGACTGAGTGACTTAACTTAACTAATTGGTCTCATGGCAGCTGGGAATATGTCAGCTAAGGTTTTCATCCTTGTTTAAGGGTACTGAACAATTTAGGGGTCACCTGATCCTAATGATTATTAAACAGTATCTATCAACTACTGAGCCCCTGACAATAGAGAGTGATTTACCCCATACAAGTCCTGGGTAGGGTCAGCAGAAAGACTGGAGAAACTATGTAGGCCCAAGATGTCACTTAAGACATCAGCCATACAAGCTAGGTTTGTGAGCTGTTTTTGTCACTCTTATGGTGTCTTTCTTAAAAAACTGTCTTCAGAGCTTCCCTGGTGGCTCATTGGTAAAGAATTCACCTGCTAGTGCAGGAGACATGGGTTCGATCCCTGGTCCAGGAAGA